CCACAGCACTCTCGCCCGGGCAACAGAGCAAGACTCTGTCTCAAAAAATTAAATAAATAAAAATAAAAAACTGTGGGAAAATGGGACTGTTCCCTACCCAACTGCGGTGGTCACAAGCCCGTGGACAGTTTTCAAAACCCACAGACCCATGTACTGAAAAAGGGTAAATTACTTTTTGTAAATTACACTTCAACAAACCTGATGTCCCAAAGGAAAGATCAGAGACAGAACCCAGAAGCTGCTTTGGCAGGTGTCAGCCCCACACGCAGGCTCCCGTGTAACCCACAAGGGAGGAGGACAGAGCAGAGACGGCCGGTGGGGGGAGGGTCCCACCCCCGCCCAGGGCCACCCAGGTGTCAGGACCCACCTGCAGGGAGAAGGTCAGGGCCAGGTCTGTCTCCACTTGCCCGCTGGGGGGCAGCACAATCTCGTGGGACCGCAGGATCCGCTTGGAGCCCTGTGAGGAGACAAGAAAAGCAGCCAAAGGCGCCGTCACTCCCGCTGGCTTCAAACTGTCAGGCGGCTGAAGTCGCGGAGGCGCCTGCGTGTTCAGCAGGGGCCTCAGGAGCGTCCGTATCCTGCGACCCACGGCCAGCACCTCTCGGAATTGCCCTGGGACACGAGAGAGATCAGGATGGTCACTGCCAACGACAGAGTGAGGACCCCAGAGATGACGTGAAGGGCGCAGAGGTCCCCAGGCAACCCGAAGCTGCAGTCCGTCTGCAAGAGCAGCTGCTCGGGGACACCGAGCAGTCGCGTGAAAAAGCAGAATGACCAGGACAGACTGGTCCTCACAGAGAATGACACGCGGGACAAAGGTAGGGAAAGTAAAACAGGGAGACGCTGTCACAGGACGGGGAGCTGAGAAGTCTAGAAATAGATCCAACGAGTACACGGATGACAAACACACGTTTAGTGCATCGTAAGTGAGGCTTCGGGCCAGCAGGAAACGTTCGTCAGTGCGTGGTCGTGGTGAGCGGACTATCAGTCACTCGTGTGCAATGAAACAGGATCCCGACCCCAGACTTTACACCAAAGCACATTCCACCCGGGTCACACGGCTCCTCACGGTACCGTTTTACATCAGCTGACCCGGCAGGGATGAGCCTTGAGGGCTTCAGGCCACGTTACGTGGTTGGATGCCACGTTCCAGGAGCGGGTCAGAGGTTACGGGGGCCGGAGGGTGGGGGCGATGAGGGCTGCAGAGAAACAGGTGGCGGGGGGCGGGGGGTCCAGGACAGACGGAACCCAGGCGGAGGCCACGTCTGGGTGGGAGCAGCGAGGTCGCAGGGACAGCCGGGTGCACGCGGAGGCTCAGCTTAGCTGTCCCGCTGCCCAGCTCCGGACCACACCTCACGCGCTGCAGGGCTGCAGCCCCGCCAGTCCTCCGCAACCCCCTCCTGCCCCAGGGCGCCGCCATGCCTGGCTCTCCCCCGTCCTTCACAGACGACACCCCCAAACCCCCTGCATCGAGCCCACCTCAGCACCTGCTGCTCAGAGGGCACAAACGGACCCAGCCACGGCGGAGCACCCAGGACAGAGGACAGACCCCGGAGGGCTGAGTGCTCAGGCAGGACAGGGCCGGGGGCGGGACCCCAGAGACAGACGGTGGCTGGGGGAAGGGCCAAGGAACAGGGTCAGGGTGGGGTGGGTCAGCAGCGTCAGGGGACAGCACCAGATTCAGAAGCCAGAGACGGGCCCAGTCCGCCTTCTAGACTTTTCGCATTGCTGTGAAGACCTGGTGAGACCCGACCCCCGCCCCAGTCAAAAGGCCGGGACATAGCCTCGTGGCCTGGAGGCCACGCCTGCAGAGGGCTCCCACGCGACCTGGGATGGCCGTGGCCAGAGGGCAGCAGCTGGACCTGTGCCTGGAGCACCTGCGCCTCGGGAGGGCTGGGCGGGGCCGGAGACCGGCTCCTCTCCACCCGCCCGCGAGCTCCCGGTGTCCTGCTGCCTGTGGCCTCCAGCAAGTGCCACGCACGTGGGACTCGCCTGGCCCAGGTGGTGCGAGTGCCAACAGCCAACGGCATTTTCTCCAGACCTTTATTTAAAAACGTTATTTTCTGGGAGGGTGGAAGCTGCCTGGGGAGGCGCAGCTGGGCCTCCACAAGCCCAAACCCCAGCCTCAGTGCAGAGGAGAGCACAGGCAGCGGCCTGCGTCACCCTGCAGCTCAGGGTGCCACGCCCCTCGGTCCAGCAGGTCCTCGAGACCCCACGTCAGAGCAACCCCGAGTGTCAGGCTGCAGAGCGGGGACCGGCCACGAGCTCCATCAGTAGGACACTGTCCCCATGGGGCTGACAGTCTGGGGTCGAGACCTGCCCTTTTCATACTTCGATGGCCAGGCAGAAGGGTGTTCCCACCCTTTGAGGACGCAGGGCAGAGGTGCTGGAGTGTGGCGCACGGCCGCCTGCGAGCGTGGCGCTGGCTGGGGAGGGCCTGCTAGAGGCCAGCCCTGCGTACACCACACCGGGACTGCTGGGCAGCGAGGGTGGGAGCCACTTCCCGTTCGCTAGGGTGGGCCTGGACCTCAGCGGCAGCCCACACAGCTGGGGGGACACCCCCTGGCTGGGCCACTGGGCGAAGACCATGCCACGAGGGTCGTGGCTGCTCTGCCCAGAGAAGCGGGCAGCGCTGGGGCCCGGCCTGGGCAGGAGTCCAGCGTGACCCCTTCTGACACAGACTTGTTCAAAGCCTCAAACAAAACCAAACTGAAGCCTGTGACAGCTTTGACTAAGGAAGCTGAGAGGTCGGAGGGCCGGCTGGGGTCAGTGCAGAGGCCCGGGAACCAGGGGCTGGGAGTTCTGGTCCAGCGCTTGGCCCCCCACCTCTGGGAGCTTCCTGCTCCTCCCTCCCGCCAGAGCTCTTACCCACGGAAGGTGGGCAGGAGGGGGGCGGGCGGCAGCAGGCACTGAGTGCAGCAGGCAGCCCACCTCCAGGCACTCCCCGGCCTGCCCGGCAAGTGACCTCCAAGTCCCGAACGCTGGGCCCGCCTCTCTCGTGGGGGACAGGACTGTGCCTGGGAGTTTCCAGCCCTGTTGTTCCCAGACCCTCGGCTCCCTGAGACGGCGCTGGCCGCCCCGACGCATCTCCTGTGTGTGGGACGGCCTGCACGGCGCCCTGCAGCAGCCGTGGAGGGCAGGAGAGCCTCACCTGCATCTTGACAGCGATCACCACCGAGATGAGCTCCTTCTCCAGCTCCTTGAAGACCACCAGCTTCTTCAGGGTCAGGCTGCACAACCTGCAAGGGCGAGGCACGGCTCAGGCCTCAGGAAGGCCTCCGGGCGAGTGCCCTCCACCCGGCCCTCCCTGCCGTGCCTCCTCCCAGCACCGCCGTCACCCCTGCAGACCGGAGGTCGCACCCCCAAGAGCCCTTCCCTAGGCCCGGCCAGGCTGTAGCCACCACCCACGTCCCCGCACATGGCAGGCACGTCCGCAGCACCCCTCGGCTGTTGGGCCAGGGATCCCCTCTCCCGAGGTCCCGAGGGTGAGGGTCCCCTCCAGTGGAGGTGGCTCAGTGTGGGTCTGCGGACAGACAGACAATCTGAGAGCTCTGAGTTCAAGACCACAGAACAAGGAGGCCCCCGCCAGGCTTCCAGCCAAGAGCACGCCCACCCCCAGGGACTGGTTAGCGCGATCCTCTAACCCTCCTCCCGCTCATGGACCCGCCACCACTCTGTGCTGAGGCCAGGCGTCACGGAGATGCCGGCTGCCCCACCTGGGACAGTCTGGAGGACGCGCCCAGTGTCCAGTGGCTCTGCCCCAGGGAACAAAGAGGGTGGAGGCCTGACCTTCCGCTCTGCACGGTGCCGTCCTGCGTGCCCAGGCGGAGCCCAGCGTGCGTGACTGCGCCCTGTGCAGACACACGTCTTCTGGAGGCACCTGCCACACACGCCGGGTCCCTGGACCACCCCAGCGAAGATGCCCACGGCAGCCGCCCACTCCCGGGGGGTGTGGGAGTGCAGTGGAACCGGTGCACTTTTCAGAAACTCCTCCACAGCTCTTTGAAATCCAGCTCGTTTTCTGCTCCCACGGGGACAGAGTAAGGGAGGACGCGCGACTGTCCACACTGACCAGACAGCACAGCTTCAAGGTCTAAGACAAACGCGCTCCCGAGGGTCTGCGTGAGGGCCCGTTTGGGAAATCTGGACTTCCGATGCCCAGCCCCCGAGCTGTCAGGTGGCCGGCCTCGAACAGTGCCGCCACGTGCCTAAGACCCGCGCATGGGATACGGTGGCAGGAAGGCAGGCCCCGGGCCCCTCCAACGCCCTCTTCTGGAAGCACCAGGCAGCGGATACAGGACCTGGTGGCCCCAGGATGTCACCCGGGCTCCCTGTGCGCCTGTCAACCGACTGGAGAGGAGGCCCCGGCCCTGCGCTGGGTTTAAGATGGAGTCCTGCTCCCTGTCCTGGGCTAAACGGGACCCCACCTGGCGTGGGCCGAAGACGGAGACCCCATTCCTATCCTGGCCACTCGGGTGGTGATGGTGACACTGTCTGCACTCACTGAGCTCAGAAGGCCGCAGGTCGGACGCAGCGGCGCCCAGGTAGGACGTGCCTGACCCGACAGTGGGCGCGGCAGGCTGGAGAACAGCAGAGCTGCCCGATAGCGTCTGTCACGCGAGAGGACTGAGGCCGAGCCCAGCGGGGGCTCTTGTCAGTACGCGGGTGCCACAAGGCAAGACAGGGCTGCAGACTGAAACGGCTCCAGACGGGCTGGGCTGCGCGGCGCCCACGGGGGACCCGAGTCACGGACGAGCAGCGTGTTCCTAACAAGACCACGGAAGCGCAGACCAACCTGGCAGGGGGTCTGCTTTTCCAAACTGTAAAGTGGACCTGCCCAGCTCAGAAAATGTTTGAATTTTTTTAAGAGTTCCAAGTGAGATGTCTTTAAGTCCAGTCGTTAAGATAAGCTGGCAAGGAGCTTAAACAACCAGAATGAAAACCTAACACACAAACCTGTCGGAGCCCCGGAAGTCACTGTCCTGTGCTGGCATCGGGCCAGTCACTGCCCCTCAGTCTCTGTGTGCACGCCAGGCGCGCTGAGCCACCCGCAAGCTTACGGCCATCCTCTCGCTCATCTGCGACAACGGGAGGATGCCAGGAATCAAGTCAGTCTCCTGGGGCTTGGCAGCAGGTGCCCTGACAGTGTCCGAGAGCTGAGCAGGGGCAGCGGGGAGCAGGCCCTGCCCTGAGGGTGTCCCCGGCACGGACACCCTCTCCCCCGCCCCGCCCCTCGGGGCCACATGGATGCTGGTCAGCTCCGTCTTAAGGAGCAAATATGTCACAAGAGGAAATGATGGAGGAGAGAGATTAAAAGAGTGTTAATACAAAACAGGACAGACCATGTCCCAGGTCATAAAATAATCCTTAGCAAACGGAAAAGAATTGATACGATACAAAGTAAGTTCTCAGACCAAAACGGAGTTAGACTAGAAATCAGTATCAGAAAGATAGCTGGGAAACGTCCAACTACCTGGGAAACTAAACAACATGTTCCTAATAACCCTGGGTCAAAGAGGAAGTCTCAAGGAAACTGGAAAATATTCTGAACAGGATGAAAATGAAAATACAACATATCGAATCTGTGGGACACAGGTAAAGCTGAGCTGAGAGGGGAAGTCATAGCATTAAGTATTTATGTGAGAAAAGAAGAAAGACTCTAAATATTAATAAATAAGCTTCCACCTTAAGAAATTAGAAGAAAGAAGAGCAAATTAAACTCAAAGTCAGGATAAAGAAGGAAATAATAAAGATAACAGCTGAAACAAAGTAGAAAAAGAATAGAGAAAATAAAATAAAACCAAATACTACAATAATTATTTGGGAAGATCAAAAAAATTCTTAAAACCTCTGGCCACAGGAAAAAAAGAGAAGACAAAAACTACCATTTTAAGGAATAAAAGGAAAGAGCTGCAGACCTCAAAGACATTTTATAAGTACAATTAGGAAATACCATAAAACAACTCCATGCATGTAAACAGGACAACTTAAATAAAATACACACCAATTCCTTGAATGCTACAAACAGTCCAAATTCACCAAGACGAAACAGATAACCAGAATACTTCTCCATCTGTTAAATGAATTAATAGTGAAAAACCTTCTAAAAAAGAAAACTCCAGGCAAATTCTACCGGATATTAAAGGAAGAAATAACACCAATTCTACATAATATCTTGCACAAAATGCAAGAGGAAGGAACACTTCCTAAGATCAAATGAGGTCTGTATCACCCTAAAACCAACACCAGACAAAATCAGTACAAAAAAGAAAACTAAATACTAATATCCCTCATAAACATAGATGTAAAAATTGTCAACAAAATATTAGCAAACTGAATCTAGCAATATATATAAATAGTAATTAATATACCAAAACTAAGTGGGGTTGTTCCTGGAATGCAAGGCTGGTTCAACACCTGAAAATTGATGTGATTTGCCATACCAACAAGCTAAGTTAGAAAAAATACATAATCATCTCAATCAACTCAGAAAAGCTTTTGAAAAAATTCAATATCCACTTGTAATAAAAACTCTCAGCAAACTAGAAAGAAAATGGAACTTCCTCAACCCGATAAAAAGCATCTATAGGCCGTGGGCGGTGGCACACACCTATAATCCCAGCGCTTTGGGAGGCCAGGAGTTTCAGACTAGCCTGGGCAACACAGTGAGACCCAGTCTCTACAAAAAATAAAAAATTAGCCAGGCATGGTGGCACACGCCTGTAGTCCCAGCTACTCGGGAGGCTAAGATGAAAAGGTAGTTTGAGCCTACGAGTTTGAAGCTGCAGTGAGCTATGAACTCTGGCTTGGGCAACAGAGCTGTCTCAGAAACTAATAAATAAATAAATGAATGCTCAGAACAATAGGAAAACAAACCACCTCATAAAAAGTGAACAAAATATCTGAACAGACATTTCAAATGAAAAAAAGACATTTCAATTAAAAAAACCACCATAAAGAAAAACTCAAGAGTTGCATACAAAAAAAGGGGTGGGGTAGGATGGGAGTAAGGGACAAAACTCTACTATATGATCATTTTTATTTCTTAAATTTTGTTCTTTTTTTTTTTTGGAGACAGAGTCTTACTCTGTTGCCTCGGCTTAGAGTGCAGTGTCGTCATCACAGCTCACTGCAACCTCCAACTCCCGAGCTTAAGTGATCCTCCTGCCTCAGCCTCCCAAGTAGCTGAGACTATAGGCGCAGACCACTGCACCTGGCCCTGTGTGATCATTTTTAAAGATTTAAAAAAGGCCAAGCACAGTGGCTCACGCCTGTAACCCTAGCAATCTGGGAGGCCGAGGTGGGAGGATCATTAGAGTTCAGGAGTTCAAGACCAACCTGAGCAAGATCAAGACCCCGTATCTACTAAAAATAGAAAGAAATTAGCTGGACAACTAAAAATATATGGAAAAAATTAGCCAGGCATGGTAGCCCATGCCTGTAGTCCCAGCTACTCAGGAGGCCGAGGCAGGAGGATCACTTGAGCTCAGGAGTTTGAGGTTGCTGTGAGCTAGGCTGACGCCACGGCACTCTAGCCCGGGCAACAGAGCGAGACTCTGTCTCAAAAAATAAATAAATAAATAATTTTTAAAAAGGGCAGACCTAAGAGACTATCGACCAATGGCAAACAAGCAGCTCTGCTTGAATCCCGCTTTGGATGGACTAACTATCAACAAGCAAACCACACACGATACTTATTTGGGGGCAGGTTTTGAGACCTGTGCAAATTCCCTACTCCTCGATGCTTCCACAACCCTTGTTTCTAGAAGTCCACATTCCTCGCCATTTGTCTTGACCTGGGGCTGGGGTGAGCCTGGCGTTCACTGTCTGCGCGGCGCAGCCCGGCCTGCTCTGCACTTTCCTGTCCCAGAAACAGCAGGAGGCCAGAGCCGGTGGGGGTTCTCGGTGCTGCGGGAGGGGCTCCTCCTGGCAGGCGTGTGCGGAAGGAGCCAGGGCCGGCTGTCGAGCAGCGAAATGCCCGTGCCAGGGAGGACACGCGCCTGCTTCTCTAAGGCGCAGCTCTGCTGTGACCATGCACACCTACAGCCATTTGGACTTTTTCCCCAGTTTTCTAAGGTATGTTGAGGCTGATGCTACTTGTGCAAATAATATTAAGAGAATAAAAGAATCATTTGCACGAAGAAACTGAGCAGATAAACAAAACAAACGTCATTCGTTTATTATCCAAGGTTGGTTGATTAGACAGCCAGGCAAGACTTGTCACATTATACTTGGCTGT